GCTGATTATAAGAGATAGACGATTAGCACAACACCGATTATTTAGTCCTCCGAACATACGCAGCCAATAAGATCCCAAAATAGCGCACCTAGGATACTTTCAAGTCAGCACGAGATGACAACCATGACAAACAAGGTACGTACACCGAGATACAGAACTGTCATTAGGGACCAGCGTTGCCTCTAGAATTAAATGTATTTTCATGGCTGTCCCTCTGCCATGAGACTCCACTCACCCAGACCAATTCGACCTATAAAACTATTCTTAGCGAGATGGCCACTCTAGTCATAGTATTGACATACCTCTTGAGCAAACGTAAGTGCTGAAAATACTTGTAAGATATCAGCAGTACTCTATATTATCATGCTCACCCCAATCATACGTCAGTGCAACAAAGGCGGCAACTGCGAAAACCGCAGCCAAGGTTAGATTAAGACACCAGCTTCAACATCCGACTGCTCTCTACGAACCTGAAAAATAGCTGGAAAAACGATATGCATTGATGGCCGACCACCAAGTGGGTTCATTTGAGACTATGATCATAGTATTGGTAGAGAATGGGGTGTGGGTGAGAGGCAAATTTGTAGACGCATGGCGAAGGCATATATACCGGGTAAAGTGTGGAATCCGATACAAGACACATCGCACTCAATTTGCAGCATGTGCCAGTTGATGGGATACAGCCTGGTTCATAATACATGATTGATGTGCGGTGAGTCCCTCAAAATGAGAAACGAAGACCCGGGCCGGCGGCGGGCGTTATCCTTACAGGAAGCCTTCAAATTATGTGATGAAAGATTGAAGTGCGCTAAGTGTTTTGAGCTAAAATAAGCTTTTCAAGCGATTTATAAAACAACTTTCAGAACGTTTCAGAACCGTTTTAGAGCGTTTCAGAACTTGCTTTAAATACAATTTTTAAAATAATTGATGATCTTGTTCTCGATGAGGGAGAAGCATGCACGAGAAAAATTGAGCGCGGTTGTCTGGCTTTCCATAGGTCCAGGAATTCTAGGTCGACATGTACGAAACGGGAACTTCCGCTTCCTGAGATTGCGCGACATGCCATCAGGTCGAAACGTTGCTCAAGGAACTATCAGACCCTCAGATACCATTCGACTGCCAAGCTGTGGCAAAAAACTAGGTATCACGTAGGAACGTAATAGAAAGATCTACCTTGTCGGCTCTATAATTGGTGAGTAGCGCTAGAGTCAGTAGAAATTCCCCAACACCAGCGCCCCAAATCATTAATGCATTACCCTTCTACACATCGATCGATCTATAATGTTTAGAATTGCAATGCTGAGTTCGAAACAAACACGAGCACCAACCTAACATTAGGTCAAGCAAGGCGCTTCTGCCGACGCAGGCGGAAAATTCTTTGGAATGTTAACAGGGCGCCACACACTCAAGGCGCCTTCAAGATCCAAATATTCAGCGGTGATTGTACAACACCGTGATCACATTAATAGGTTAGTGATGGTTGCTGTCGAAGACTTAGTACTTATCATCATCAAGGCCTGGGATGCAAATTCAAGAAACATTGCGGATGCATTCTAAAGAGAAACCTGGACGGTTGGAGTAGTTGGGGAGTAGTTCCAGCTATGCAGCGAAGTGGAATCTGTATATACATCTGGCTTGTGAGGTGCGTTAGTTGGCTCAGGTTGCCAGATACATTTGTCGGGAAAAAGTGATAGTAGTGCTGGTTCAGTGCTAGCAGACGTGGTGGCATGATGTTCCGTAGTGGACGAAGCACCACACTTAGACCCGTTAGTCAAGACCCTATGTACGTCCGTATCATTCTTCTAACCCCTAACTCACGGTATTCCTGTTGTAGATGTCTACAACTTGAACCAATTTCGCTGTCTGCGCTCTATTCCGCACTGATCAATTTAATCTCGACACGCAGCTCACCTAATCTGTGTTCGCCATTGCAAATGTCCCTAATGAGAGCACTAGTGACGAACGAGAGACATTAAATTTAAGCTAAAACCTCTTGTCTTTTCAAAAGGCAGTCACTGGGATTCTAACGGGTGAGCCAGTGCCTAGTGAATGCCCAAGGCGTGATAAATTGAAAAAGATTGTTTGAGCAGGTTTTTGACAAACCTGCAACAGATTTTCGCCCTGTCACGCTTACCACTTGGCTAAGACTAGTCAAGTACGTCTGTAGTATGAGCCGAAGAACATCATGCATTGGCGGTAGAATCACATAGGATTAGCAGTCATTTGCCAACGCAAAATGAAATAAAAGAGTCAAGACTAGTTCGATGGACACAAAGCATGCCAGGGGGTTGGGGCTGGGATGTTGTTAATAGCTATTAATTCTCACGGGGTGAAAAAGTAGCAAATTGGCAATTGGCGCTTGGCCGGATTAGGACATGGTTGTTGGCGCAGAGTTTTTGTTGGAAGATGTAGATACTAGAAACAATGCTCAGTGCAATCGCAGTGCGAAGGGCAGCACAAGCTGCCTTGGAGTCATCTCAGCCTTCCAGCTCTAAGCAGCCCTCACCACTACCGACACCTTCAACATCATCCCCGGACCCCAATCCCGAGCCAAAGCGTCCAAATCCTCCCTCGAAACGCAAATCTAGTTCTGTCAATGGAAAGCCATCACGGAATAGCAAGAAAGCAAAAATACGTCCAGGGCGAGTGTCAGCCACCGCTCGGTATTTCGAGTCGAAGAACATGGTTGAAGGAGGAGGGGATGTAATCATGTTGGAGTCAAGCTCAGATTCAGAGCCAGATGTTCAAGCGAAGCTGGCCTTGGATTCATCTGACGACTCAGAAGCTGAGGAAACACAAAATCCACTTGTTTCCATTGAATTATCATTATACCCTCAGCCTTCGAGATCTGAGCCTTCCCAACTGTCCACGTTCAGACCCACTCGTGATCTTAACGTTTACGAGCTCTCTGCCGATGAAGCCAATGCCACGGGCTTGCAAAGCGAGACTTCAGTGCTTTCCATCGACCGGGAGGAGACACTCGCGCTTCTAGGGACATACGCTCTTACTGTTTTGAAGGGGTCTGTTTCCATACTCGGTGTAACGCTGTCTGCCTCGAAAGTAGCTCACCATGTGTTCGTTCCTCGTTCTGCTCCGATTCCCATCTTACGATGCGCCTCATCGGACGTACATGCCGACTTGAACATATATTCCCTTCCTCCTCGCATCAGACATAATCACGGTGGAGCTGTAGTAGCGATTCAATCGCTCGATACAGGCGTGGAAGGTCTCGGACGTATATGTCGCGTCTTTGATGGAGTTTTTGAACCTTCACGGTGGCAGCGGAGCTCGGCAGAGCTTATACGGCCTGGCGTAAGCTTGGTACGTGTGCTGTTCTTGAATGCATCCAAAGTCTCATTTGTCCTGTCATACAGGTGACGCACAGCACCAGGGACGTGCTACCGTTCGTACTGCCAGAATCATGGAGTATTGCCTTGAGCGCTGCAGAGACTCCACCATCTTCAGCGGATCCCATACCTCTCTCGGTGTATGTTGTCAAGGGTCCGAAAAAGTCCGGAAAGAGCACATTTGCTCGGACGCTCTTGAACAGGCTTCTGGCGAGGTATGTTTGGAGTTCAATATATATAAATACTGCTGACGGTGCTTTATAGATTTCAGCGCGTTGCATATCTCGAATGCGACGTGGGGCAATCCGAATTTACACCTGGAGGTTTGGTCGCCTTAAACGTCATCGACAACCCGGTATTTGGTGAGTAATCACTACATCAACCTGGTGGAGCCCTTGAAATATCGTTGCATCTTAGGTCCGCCGTTTACACACCCTAGTCTTCCATACCGAGCGCACTACGTTGGAGCAACTTCACCACGGTGCAGTCCGGCACACTATCTTGCGGCCGTTCAAGCGCTCCTCGAAACGTACAAGCTCGAGGTGCAAACTTCCATGCCCGATGACGAGTCGATTGACACGCGGGTAACTGACATTACACCCCTGGTGATCAATACAATGGGGTGGACGAAGGGTCTTGGTGCTGACCTGAATGCCAAGATCGAGGAACTTGCCGAGCCTACACATGTATTTGAGATTATCGGTCCAGAAGAGAAAGGTTGGCCAACTGCTCCGCCAACCTATGACACTCTTTACAACCAGTCTGCGCCGAGCAAGGCGTTCCAATATACCCTCGAAGCAATATCACCACATTTAACAAATACACATTTTAACGCCGTCGACCAGCGCAACTTGAACATCTTGTCTTATTTCCATGCTATCTTTCCATCTATTACATCGGCGTCATTTCCGTCTCCATCCGCTCCACTTCGTCAAATGACAGCAACCAAATGGGAGACTTCTCATCCTCTCTGTGCCCGGTATCCGTATGAGGTGGACTGGAGCCAGGCATTTGACCAGGTCATCCTGATCGGTGCAGGATACGAGGACGTGATTCCCTCGGAGATCTCCAACGTCTTAAACGGCGCGATCGTTGGCCTTGTGGAATGCGAGCCTGGAACCGAAGATCCAGTGTATCTGGACCCCTCTGGTGCCCGGGAATTGCCATACGCCCAAGCCAGGCATCCGCCTGCACCCTCAACCTCCACTTGCCATGGCCTTGCCCTTATTCGCGCCATCTCGCCTAGTTCATCGCACATGCATATCCTCACCCCGGTTCCGCCCGCTATCCTTGCGCGCTGTCGGGTAATCGTCAAGGGCGAGCTGGAGCTGCCTATCTGGGGAATGCTCGATTTTACAGATGCAAATGAAGGGGTTGCGGGTGTAGAGAAGGGTCGTGTGCCATATTTGCAATGGGGTAAGAGTGAAGGCTTGGGTGGCGAGCGTAGGAGGGTGAGGAGAAATCTCATGCGAAAAGCCCAAATGTGAGGTATACAAACAAAAGTACACTACATCTATCAGATGCAGCCAGCATTACAGCAATTGCCGTCGCATCAAAAGTACATCACTCAAACACGATAACTACATCCGGACCCTTGTTGTCCAGCCATCGCTTCCAAAGTTTGCTGTATTTTGGCGACCACGGCCGGCGTAATACTTGTTCGTTTGGCAGAAGTCGCGCAATCCGCTGCATTTCTCTCAGGTCTCTGTGAGAGTGATACTTCATGCGTATAGCTGCTTGGGCATGAGTCGGGTGATGCTTCAATCCCAAACACCAAGCAGGCGTCACTTCTTCTGAGCAGCAGTGTCAGATGAAGGACTTACCGGTCCCGAAATACCATCCTATGCCACTTGCAAAACGTTTTGGCTGATATGCAAAATTCACCGCTTCCATCGTCGGGGTGTCGTACATCGCGGTATTGAGGCAGAAGACGTGGGGTATAATACGTCACGAGAGGTATCTCAGACGTCTCATGCGGCGGCCGACGGGCACTAGACTGTGCAAGGTGACGTCGGTAACGAGCCGCAATGCACCAATATTTCGCTTCCGCTTCTAGCGTGGGGAATGTTCCGCATCGTGAACGTGCGGGGAATGGAAATAAGAGGCGGACACGAAGACAAGTAGAGGAGAATGCGTGATAGAGTCTTTGGAAAAGACTATCCACGAAGGTCCTGCTAGAGCCCCCTCGGAGTAGGCGCCTCCCAAGCTGAGTTGCGCAGAGAGACCGTACCACCCAGGTGGGATCGACGAGTGGGAGGCTCGTTAGTAGCAAGAAAGTAACGATGGCCGGTGACTTGGGGTAGATGATGCTCTGGGCCTCGGTCAAGCCTGAATTCGTGACGAGTAGATCTGGACGTGGAACTCACCTGCAACTGCATTTTGCGAGTCTCCTCAACGATGATTGGGTTACAGTTCAATTGCTGCTCAATTAGCCTTCTGAGAGCCTATGACTCGGAAGAGTATGAAGCTGCCTTGCAAACGTTATACGTCAGTTTTGATGGTAATAACCAACACTTACGAGACCGTCCGGATTCCCTGAGCCCATCCGCTTTGGCCATCCAACCTCGTGGTGGGCCGCGAGGCATACTAGTGGCTGGGCAGCACTATTTGTAGGACGATCACCAGGCCATATTCATACAAAAGCAGGCCTGTTTCACAACAAGAATATGGCATTTTGTACCGTTGCCATTTACAGGCTAAGGGTCAGGACGTTCGGTGTTTGACCAGCTAGCAAGTGTGTAGAGCTAGTGTTATCAGAGGGTGAGGCTGAGGTGATCGTGAGTTTCTAGGTGAAACGAAATTTACATAATTATCATGATGACATGAACGAAAGAACGCTTTTCTTCCACTATCGTGGGAGTCGGGGACCTCAAGCACAATGTCCTTTGCGTAAATAGACGACCGACGACAACATGCAGACACGATTGATGCCATGACAGCCAACTCGAAAGCGAATTTTTCCTCAGTTTCGGACATCATTGGTGCCCTGCAAAACACGGTAAGCACCCAGTTTCAAGTTCACAGGCACTCGTCTGCATATGATAATAAACAATTTACTTCAGCTCGCTCATTCACAAGTAATCGTATGTCAATTGAGTTTAATACATGTATTGATGACATTGATTCACAATGACCAGATACCAGACCTCGAAACCCAGTATCCTGTTAGCAATACGAACTACTCTGCCTTCAAGCTCGATTACCAGAACATCAGTGCCATCATTACCAAACGCCAGCAGCAATTGGATGCAGTATCCCACGAAATCTCACGTTTTGAAACAGTCATAGATGGTATCTACCATATTCACCAGCAACTAGTCGCGAAGAAGGACAAGATCACTCAGTCCATGAATTCGCACAAGCGACTTGTATCAGCTCTCTGGCGCTTGCCAGCCGAAATCCTATCCCAGATTTTTGTTCACTGTCTCCCGATTGGGTACCGCTTGTCGCCCGCGTTAGAGGCAGGTCCTACGCTACTGACAAAAATATGTCGACGATGGAGGGAGGTTGCTGTGGATATGCCTAGTTTGTGGCAAGAACTATATGTGGGCACGGACTGGCAGCGGGCAGCTTTCTGTTATGAGACATGGCTCAAGCGATCACGAGGGCGTCCGCTCTCGTTGGAACTCCAGTGTCACAAAAATGACTGGACCGAGCTACGAAGTCTTCTTCAGCCCCACATAAATCAAGTCTCATCTCTGTCTCTTCATTTTTACACGAACGGCTTCCAACCTGAATTTATGGTATCAGACTTCCTCGCACTTGAGGAGTTGACCGTATATTTGTGTTCTTCTAATTCTGAGGCTCGCTTTGTCCAATCTATCTCGCAACCACCATGCACTTTACGCAGTTTCACGGTAATAGGGCCGTTCTTCAACATGGAGTACGCCTCTACCTTCAATCCCACCTGGGCCCGCCTCACAGATATCCAGATCGAGCTAGATGAACCAAATGCATTCCCCCAATTGCTCCGTTTATGCCCCAGTCTCCTCTCCTTGACAATATTAACATCTTTTATCGCCACGGAGGCCTTAGCGCCATTCACGCACACCCGACTCCAATTCTTACGGATCGATTCCGACAATGTTTATGACGGTGACACAGAGCATCTTCACCTATTCGATACTCCCTCACTTCCCAATTTGCGCGTTCTCGAAACTCGCGGTATATACCCATGGCCTCATGAGGAATTCAAGGCGTTTTTGACGCGGTCAAAGTGTCCCCTGGAGAGCCTGACGTTTGGCTTCGAAGAGTCGATAAAAGATCACCAGCGAGCGGAATACGTTGCCCTTATTCCTTCTCTCAAAGAAGTACTAGTAGTGAGATGAGTCATTCCTTGCATTAGAGGTTGCTTTGAGTAAACAGACTTAGGGGTTGTGGATGAAGATGTCAGGTTCAGACGGAATTTGACCTACACCGTTGTGATCTATATATTCTACGCAACTGAATTAAACTCAAATTCTATGATGACTTATAGGTGCTTTCCATGTGATCAAGATGAGTCGCTGACCTCGGGGAAGGACGATGATGTAGCTTCGGATACAGATACAACGCAAGGTATGCATACACCCAGCCTGTTCTCCCTCATCCTCGTCAAGACTCGGCGTGGCACTGTACACAGACGCAATGAGCCATTCAAAATCGTGACAACCAAACAGACTATATCCACTGACTCATCAAACATGGAGTGACGTCATAAAGCTGATATAATAGCGACAAGGTCATCGCCGCAGAATGCAAAAAAAAGTGACCTTGACTAAATAGTCACAAATTAAGTACTGATCATGACGCTGGCAGATGCTTAGCTAGAGAGACAACATCTTCGATAACAAGCGGTGAACTGGGTGTTATCTGGCGTCCTACTGGTGCTCCTGCCAGTCTTGCGTAGCAAACACTGTTTGATTCATTTCCGACGTTTTGATGGGCTATTAGAGGTGTCCGATTCGAGTGTACTGTTGCTATTGACCGGAAACTCATCCAAAGTTCGCTTTCTGGATGTGAAGGGTGGCCGAAGCTTCCGTTGTTGACTGCTGGGAATTGGGACCGATGGCTGACAATCATTCATTAGGCTTTGCGTTGAAGGTTCAAACTAAGGATGAGAGAGAATTAGAAAGGTTTCACAAAATGAAAAAAAAAAATTCAAACCTGAAGCGAGGCAATAACCTCTGCAAGTTTCTGTCCCTCGGATAAAATATCAAGACAAGAACGCAGTCCCTTCAAACACCACTGCCGTTCGAGCCAGGAAAGGAGGGTGACGATTCCAGAAAGCCTGGAATATATGGTTCAGAGTGTCATCCCATGGATTTGGAGCACGCGACAGGTGAACAACCCAGTTTTGACATGCATACTTGAGAGCGTCGGAAGATGATTGACTTCGTTTCTGTGCCTCGTTTGCAAAAGCTGTAAAGAGATTCATAGCACGGATGATCTCCCTGTCAGGAACTTCTGGCGATGCAGAGGTAAGATGATCTTGGGGTATCAATGCCAAGAACATCGGAAACATCAAGAAATCCGGTAAGCTTTTGAGGTGCTGGACTACTTTGAAGGTTGGCAGTAAAGCCAAATTTGGGACAATAATATAGTCGCTGATTGCTTCCAACGTATCGGAGAATTCTTCCATAGTCGCCCATACGGACCCCGCAGGAGTGGATTGCCACGCTTGGCCATGGGGCGTCTGGAGCCAGTTTTGCCCGCCCAGGGTCTGAAGCCAGTTTCGCCCGCCCAGGGTCTGAAGCCAGTCTCGTCCTCCCTCAGTCCAGAGCCAGTCTCGTCCCCCCTCAGTCTGCAACCAGTTTTGTCCTCCCTCGGTCTGGAGCCACTCTCGTGCACCCTGGGTCTGGAGCCAGTCTCGTCCTCCCCCGGTCTGCAGCCATTCTCGTCCTCCCTCATCCTGCAACCAGTTTTGTCCTCCCTTGGTCTGCAGCCAGTTTCGTCCTCCGTGGGTCTGCAGCCAGTCTGGCCCTCCCCCAATATACAGCCACTTTTTTCCTCCCTCGGTCTGCAACCAGGTTTGTCCTCCCTGGGTCTGCAACCAGTTTTGTCCTCCCTCTGTCTGCAACCAGTCTTCTCCTCCCCAGGTCTCTAACCAATCTTGTCCTCCCTGGGACTGCAACCAGTGTCGTCCTCCCTCGGCCTCCAGCCACTCTTGTGCTCCCTCAGTCTCCAGCCAATCTCGCTCTCTCCAGGTCTGGAGCCAGTCTCGTCCTCCCTTGGTCTGGAGCCAGTGTCGTCCTTCCTCGGTCTGGAGCCGGTCTTGTCCTTCCTCGGTCTGCCACCACTCTCGTCCTTCCTCGGTCTGGAGCCAGTCTCGTCCTCGTCCTCCCTGGGACTGCAGCCAGTCTCGCCCTCCCTGGGACTGCAGCCAGTCTCTTCCCTCAGTCTGCAGCCACTCTTGTCCTCCCTCGGTCCGCAGCCAATCTCGTCCTCCCTCGATCTCCTGCCAGAGTTGCCCTTCCTTAGTCTGCAACCACTCTTGTCCTTCCTCGGTCTGCAGCCAGTCTCGTCCTCCTTGGGTCTGCAGCCAGTCTCTTCCTCCCTCGGTCTGCAGCCAGTCTCGTCCCCCCTCGGTCTCCCGCCAGAGTCGTCCCCCCTCGGTCTGCAGCCAATCTTGTCCTCCCTGGAACTCCAACCACCATCGTCCTTCCCAGGTCTGCAGCCAATATTGTCCTCCCTGGGACTGCAACCAGTGTCGTCCTCCCTCGGCCTCCAGCCACTCTTGTCCTTCCTCGGTCAGCGGCCAATCTCGCCCTTCCCAGGTCTGCAGCCAGTCTCGTCCTCCCTGGGTCTGCAGCCAGAGTCGTCCTTCCTTGGTCTGCAGCCGGTCTCGCCCTCCCTCTGTCTGCGGCCGGTGTCGTCCTCCCTCTGTCTGCAGCCAGTGTCGTCCTCCTTGGGTCTGCAGCCAGTGTCGTCCTCCTTGGGTCTGCAGCCAGTATCGCCCTCCCCGGGTCTGCAGCCAATCTTGTCCTCCCTCGGTCTGCAGCCAGTGTCGTCCTCCCTTGGTCTGCAGCCAGTGTCGTCCTCCCTTGATCTGCAGCCAGTGTCGACCTCCCCGGGTCTCCAGCCAATCTTGTCCTCCCTCGGTCTGCATCCAGTCTCGTCCACCCTCGGTCTGCAGCCAGTCTCGTCCTCCCTGCGTATGTAGCCAGTCTCGTGCTCCCTTGGTCTGCAACCAGTCTTGTCCTCCCTCGGTCTGCAACCAGTCCCGTCCTCCCTTGGTCTGCAGCCAATCTCGCCCATTCGTGGTCTGCACCCAGGCACACCCGTCCACAGTCCCCAGCCAATATTGTAAATCTGAGGCACGAACACCCCGAAGCCATAGCATACAGATGAGAACTGACAGTGGCTCTGGTGGCCGAACAAGAAAGGATAGCGAAAATTTTAATCGATGGGGGTCCTCAGGTTGCATAGCTTGGCTCTGTTTCTCCAGTTCTGAGAGCGCATCCAAGAGAGCCGTGCTTTCCGTAATTTCCGTCATCAAGCGGAGAGACGAATGTGCGAGTAGGGAGTGGGGTGATACGATATCATATACTTGAAGGAGGCCGCAGTTTGAGGGGTCGGAAACGTAGTCACGAATGGATGAGTGATAGATATTCACGGGAAGAGTACTGTCTGTAGGGATGTCCATGACAGACCGTAATTGTATCAGCGTTGTCTGCACATCCCTGCCCAAACCAGGCCCAAGAAGTGACGAGATTTGCGAGATGGGAAGAGGGTCTGCGAGCGCGGCGACAATGGACAAGTGCAGGTATGCTCGCGTGGGGTCGGCACATGTGGAGAGGATACGGTCGTATAACTTGTATACCTCCGTTCCCGCTAGCAGTTCGCTCGTCAGCTTGAGCATCAGCTGTAACCGATCGCTGGGATGCTCGTCTTCATCGTCGATAATAAACTTCACCATTGTAGACGCCACGATGAAACGTCTGCCAGCGCGGCTCGCCAGCTGCGCGAGTTCATCCCTCGTTGGCTGGGGGAAATCGGGATGGCGTTTTGTCAGCTTTGCGAATGAATGCTGCAAGAAAACATAGATATCTGCATCGAGATCGGCGCCGTCGAGCGAGATGATGGCAGCAATGCCCTCCCCAGAAGTTTTCACTGGGATTTCGCACAACAACGTGCCCACCTCTTCGTTCTTGAAGGCTTCAGAGATATGGGTTTCCGAGCGACTTGTGAGCAAAATGTGGGTCACGGGAAGATCAGGGTCACGAAGAGCCTGCGCAAGGGAAAGGATGAGATCGGTAAGCTCAGGTTCGGATGTGCATTCATCAAGGGCATCGACAACAAACGTCAGAGGCTGACACCCGCGCAACCTAGGTTGAAGCTTTCGGAGAGGTTGGAGAAAGAGAGCCTTCATCTGGTCGCAGAGAGGCACGCCTGGGTTTAGTAGAGCAGGATTGTTGCGGATCGCTCTGTTCACATCCTGCCGGATGCTTGGAAAATTATTGGCAAGCTGGTAGGCAAGCGTTGCAAAGAAATATCCAGTTGTGCAACGTTTAGTGTGCTTGCGCGAGAAAAGAATGTTCCCGCTAGCCGCATTTCGACATCCGTCTCCTCTGTCACTTTTAGACCTTTCATCCTCTCAGCTACGGTGAACGCGACGGCAGACTTTCCGACACCTGCAGTGCCATGCAGCCAGATAAGTTGATTCTTCTTTTGGTCATCCAGGAATCCGTGAATGTATTTGAGGAGATCCACCCGGGTCCCTTGCAAACATTTTGGGTGGGGATGACGTTCAGGGGAGTTATATTGAGCACCCTTGACAGCAACCTGGGACAGCCTCGCCCAAGTTCCTTCAAACGATGGAAGAACTATCAAAAAGGTCAGAAAGCGAGAGAGGAACAAGAATGAGAAAAACCAACACTGTTCCTCACTCATCCACGAAGGTTGTGATATGCGTGATGAGAGTACTAGCTGGGTGCAGTTAGAAATCATCTGGGCAATATTTATCTTCAGGGACGACGTACACCAAAATGTGGATTTGTTGGAGTTGAAGTAAGTTGTCAATTGTCCCGAAGAAAGGGATGGAAAGCTTGCTGGATGGTGGTGGGTGAAACAGTTCAAGGATGCATCGATGAGTGCTGGGCAGTGGGCACTGCCAGTGGGCGTTCGTCCGAGTACAGGAGGCCACGAGGTTGCTGTGCATGACTGAAGTTAACTCCCAGTGTAAACCCACAAAGGCAGGTCGACGGAGATAGAGCTGGACTTGTGAAATCGAGAGTTGTAGACAGTTAGATCACTCATGCTTTCCCCGTGTTTTACTACGAACTACGCGTTCATGCTTACTCACATCTGCCTCGCACCAATGGACTTATGCCCACCACCAGCAAACACGATCCCGCTCTCCTCCAGGCTATAGTGTCATTCCATTGCATTAAAACAGGTTAAGTACCATTAAGGAGTGATGCATATGCATAGTGTTGGAGTTTGTGCTTGACGAGCTTCGACTCGGAAAGAGCCGAAACGGCGCTACAGTTTTGTGGCTGAACCTTACATAAGGGCAAGGCCGGTTGACCGTTCGGGCTCTCGGCGAGTCAGCGTTGATTGCACAAGTTGATCAAATTCAACTTTAACAAGTCGACCATATCAATATAATGGAGCCCAACAGCGCTGCTGAGCTCAGACGATAGTTCAACGTTCAACGTTCAAACGTTCACCTCCTATGGCGGTTTTATTCACCCGCTAATCTCTTTGTCCAAGGTGCTCGTCGCTCGATCTACACGTAGACACTTTATGTGCCTTCCACCGTTTATTTTCACCGTCAGCCAAATTCGGACTCTCTGTCATTGCGCAAGACACTATCGATGCTGACACTACGATTGTATCTTGTCAATTTTCACTGGCCATCGACGTGGAGTGTGCTCTGTATGCTCTGACAGTACTATTTGGCGAATCATCTCTTGTTGACCTGCAGTCGTGGTCAAAAAGGCAGCTAATTTGCACTTACATATGCTTACACTGGGTCTTCCCCAATTCAAGGCGCTTTGTCTCTCTGCGTGCGTATTTGATGATTATACATTACAGCCCAATTCCCGATGTCCTTCGACATCCTCCTTGCTTGGAAAGTCTTCCACCTGCGGACGCACTGCTAACGTCCCTTCGATTCACACCATCTGAACTCGAGACTTTCCGAGGAACTAACATCTACTGCGCTACCCATGATCGTCAGGAAAGCTGGAGCACTGAGTGGAATAAATGTCGAACCTTTATCCACCCCATTAATGCGGATTGGGCTGAAAGATACATTTGGTAAGCATCTCCCGTGCTTGTTTTCTCCCCGTACGCCCCTCAAACTAGATCAGGAACAGATATACAAGAGCATCGACGTATCTTTCAACCCACGCATTTCCATACGCGCTTCTATCCTGATCTCCTGTACTGCAGACCTCCTTGAGTTATCCATTCAGTGCACGTCGTATCTGGAAGGAAGTACGGAAGCAAGGGATGACTCAGCCACTATTTCCATCATTTCGCATACCACGACACCTCTTGGCGAAGAAGTCTTCAACAACTATGGGCTCAAAGCGAACGACGAGCTGATCCTCGGATATGGGTTCTTGCTCCCACAAAACCCGGATGACAAAATTACGCCACAGCTAGGTGGGTCCTCTAACGATCGGTCGTCTTGCAAGCGGTGCGGAAGGACTCTAGAATGAAGTGAGGGGATTGGTGGCTGAAACCCCGGACGAGATAGGGTATGAAGACAATTTAGAAGCAGTACAGCTGTTGTTGGAAATGGTTCAGAAGAAGTGCGATTTACTTCCAGATCTCCCGGACGAGAATGACGCTGGCATACGCCCGGCGGTGGAACTGATGATCAAACATTACCTAGAAGGTGGGTCGTCGGCAAATTCATTGCGATGTTTCCTGACGTCGTTTGCTAGGGCAACGTGACATTCTTACTTCACTGAAGTTGCGCTTTAAGGAGAGACAAGAGGCCACGGTAGAGGCCACAAGAGACGAAGGCATTAGATTAGTATTTGATGATGACTCAATATAGAGAACTTGAAATCGCCTTTATTAAGGTGTACACCTAAGATGCCTACGACATATGCAGGAAGATATGTAAGAGCCAGGTCTAGAAGAGATAGTCCCTAGTGCTGTGAGCATTCAGACCTCGAGTTTGTAAGGTTTCTCGTCAAATTCCGAGTCTGAAAGATCCGACAAATCAGCATCTTCATGGGGCTTAAATGTAATGTTAGCTTGGTTATGAGTACCAAATGAAATACCTACCAATGAGGTATATGCAAACAAGTCCAGATTATTCTCGCTGGGGACGAGATCATGAAATGCCTGTTCCAGCGTGCCCAAGAGCAGATACCAAACTGTCATGATCGGATGCTTCCACTTCAAATTCCCCCAGAAACACAACGTGACCATAAACTCCAGCGCCAACGCCAATGTAGAACCCAAGACTAAGGCAATTTGTTTTAAAATATCTATGATATGCCGCACGATATTAGTCGGGATTCATGAAGTTGCTGCTGCGAATTTACCTACTGGTGACCATGTCTCCACGGTCAAATTGTCATAACACCGTTGGGCTATCCACAATCCACAGAAGACCCAGCATAGTATTGAAAGGACACGTGCATCCTTTATGCAACTTCTGCGGGTAATTGGAATTCGCACTAGGACAATAGCTAAGAGCCAAGTTGCTACCATACTGGCGGGAATGATCACTTCAATCCAAGTCTGGATAGGGAATAATTCCTTGAAGATGTAATTGATGCCAATGAGAAGGCAGGTCCAGATGAAGACGATTTTTAATCCCAAGGATGTTTTCATTGCAATTGCGATCATCGGGTGGGGACATATTGAAGATTTGGATAGGGGTAAAATTCAGCAAACGATGTGCGGATGACATAATGGTGTTCAGGCTAAGGTGTGCACGCGTGGGAACTTACAGGCGTACCATCAATTGGCCCAGTGATTGGAAATTAGTTCAGTGTGCATTTGATCCACGTACCTGCACATCTACGACATCTCTACGTAGTGCCTGAGGCCTGAGTTGCCAATCACTGGTAGCGTGGTCAATGAAAATAGTTCATCTACTTCCACAGTTTGCGAGAGCTACTATCCCCAATCCTCGTCATGCAATTGAGCTCAAAGGCCAAAGTCTCAACACCGTCATCGAACACCAGCAGCAGTTGCACGAGATCTCAGACCTGCAAACAGTTATTCAAAACTTTTACTACAGCAACTCGTCGAAAAGAAGGACAAAATCATCGAGTCCATCAATTTGTAGGCGCTGTAGTGATTACGACAGAGGGACAACGAGCGGAATACGAAGGTCTTGCTGAGAGGTCAGTAGTCAGCAAATTATTGCCACCAAACAGATTATGCTTTCACTAAACGTTAGGTGACGTTACTGAGACTTAGGGTTCGTGCTAGCTAATCAGGTGGAATACAAAACGTACATACGTACGCAACGTATCGAATAATACAATTAATCACCCAGCAGCCTGAGTCCGCTCTAACATCTTATTCACCGCAACAGCCCTCCCAGAAGACGCGTGCGCCATATCCGACAACCTGTTCTCCCTCATCCTTGTCAAGACTTGCAGCAAGAAGGTCGGCGTGGCACCATGCGGCCTCTGTGCATCGTCCAGGTTCTCCACAGGCGTAGATACCCCGCTATGGCTCATTCCCGGTTGTGCCTGAGTATGTCCGTAGAATGCACTCTTTGCAGAATCGACGAGATCGGAATCTTCAAGGTACCGCTCCCAGAGTGTGTACATTGAAATGATTTCTTGTGCAATAGTGGCGATTAATGGCATTGAAATGTTAAGTTCAGCAAAGAAGGCAATAAAGTCCTGTGAGGGTTTCTTTGCGTGACCCAATGATGTACTAGAACTTTGCCGCGACGATCTTCTCGGGGAGCTGTGGATTGGTGTCGCTTCAACTGAATGAGACTGCTGTTGCAGGAGCTCTCTAGTTGGACCGTGTAAAACCACAGCGAGATAGAGTGCCGTAATGGCGAGCAGATGAGGAGGATAAAGCAAGCAAAGATCCGAGCGATATGTGTCGTTGATGATAGACCTACAATTAAACTCAGTTATGAGACACTCCTCCTGCAAATTCGCTCACCAAGCTAGCTGGAACGCATCATCTGGCAACTCGAGTTGCCCGTCTCCACTTCCCCAATACCGTGGCCCGTCGTCCACTCCAACACCCACTTCACCAGCTTCTGTCTGCAAGTCGTTCGAGCTCTCCTTCTTGCAAATGGACAGCAACGTGCGATATGGATGGAAAACAGTGAGATCACATTCGAGGTCCGCAACGAGGTAGAACTCCATCTCGGCGAGTTTAGAATTATCAGAAGGAAAATATTTCACACCGTACGGCTGTTCTGTGCAACTTGACATCAGAATTCAAGCAATTAGTTTGGTGGTGAAACGTACGGCTGAAGAAAAGGCGAGCCTCTGCTACCATATTCTTGATGTGCACGGGCGACTCCTCCGCCTTCCCAGCCACGTAACAGCATGCTGCGATAACAATAAATGGATCGGTTTCGCAGTACGAGTTTTTGATGTAAAATCTTCGAAAAAATACAATGGCTGTTGCGATGACGCGCTGCCTGAAGTTGAGCTTTTTTCCTAGTTTCGTTATAACTAGAAGGGTTGAATGCCTTTCCACATTCTGCAGGTGTGTTGAACTTACCGTTGGCAAAGAAAATCGCAAAGAAATCGAGGTACTCTGGATCGTCCACGTATTGTAGGTCATCTGAACGAGACTCCTTCAAGGTAGCCCGATCTACTATCCATCGTTTGCTATGATACCCACCATAAGCCTCTTATGCCTCTTGTGACTTTGATCCTCCTCACTAGTGCGAACTGGCCCAGAAATCGGTGGCCATATGATATCAACAGAGTGCGTTTCAATCAGGGTTGAACGTCGAACAAGGAATGCAGGACTGCTTTGCAGGTTGCGGGACCCTGCAAGACTAAGTTACAGAGGTTGCAGTGCCAACTCGGAACAACCTCTTCAAACGGTCAATTACAGCCCATTACGTGATGCTACAACATCCGGGGTGCCTGTTTCCTTCTCCTGTTCATCACGCACTGACATCAAACTAGCATTATATTTAGCTCGTTGTAATACCCGGTAAAATCAGTGGATAGCTCTTGACCGATCACGCAGCCGCTGCAGGCGCTACTAGCATCAATACTTCTGAAATTCGAGAACGGATTATGGTCTCGCCATATCCTGCCGGATTCACCCTACTTCTCCGTCCGCAGGCGAGCGGATTTCTTACAGACCCATGCCAGAATTTGCTTATCTGTTCCTGGCCATTTTCCGGCGCAAAGGGCCAATCCGAATAACCTGCCGGTGTGAGATTACCAGGCATGTACCATGTTGCTTGGTCACCCCGCTCAAGCGCGATGGCCTTCAGCAGACGGAATGGCAGATCGGGCTTAGAAAGGGTGGCAAGTCAGCCACTAAAAAGTCGGGACAAATGGCTCACGTTTGGCACAAACAGCCTCCCGAATCCAACAAGGCTGCCTTTATTGTCTACCGTCTCGATTGCGCTATTCCAGGTATACCCGTTTGTACTGATGAAAATGCCTTCAACCCCTTGCCAGGTATCACGGAGGAAATCGCTATTTTTTTCAGCAGTGATTTCGGCAGGCATCAGCTCCACGATGTGGATGTATGCAAGTTTGTGTTTACGCAGCTGTTCAAACACGTGGGAGAACTGGGGTTTGTGGTCTGTCATGGCCATACCTGCACTACAAATCAGCTAAATACAAATCGGTAGTATTTCATGATACACGTACCGCTGTATACGCCCCACGGGCCACGGGTTCATTCAGAACCCCGTCCTCTCAGCACCAACAACCTTCACAACGGTATCTATTACTTCGAGTGCAAACCTTGCGCGATTCTGGATGCTTACGCCCTGTGCGTTGGTTGGTAACGTCTTATATGAACTGATCGATCAAGCAGCCGTTCGCGCCGTGAACTTTTTTAACGCCATCGAAGCCAGCTCGAATGTCATTTTTTGCGGCAACGATATGCGTGGCAACGTACTCTTTAATTTTATCCGTCGCGAGTGCACGTGGCACTTCTGTTCTTCCCGGGAGGGGGACTCGGATGGGCGAGGAACTGACGTAGGGACTATTGTTCTCTTTGGCAAGAATGGCTGCTTCTGCGGCACGACCGAGCGCCCAGAGTTGTAGGAAAATGAAAGAGCCCTTGTCGTGTACTGCTTCTGTTACCTACACTCCGGGGTGTGAGCCAGCTCTCATCCAGTGAAATGCATCTGCAACTTGAAGTTAATGTTGCCTACGCGGATGGGGAGAAGAGTGCGGAGGTTGAAGAAGACGTACTAGCAGTGATTTATTACATACTAGGTATGAAATGCTTGGAATGGTACTTAGGACTACGATTCATGACGTGTCACGGTATTTCATAGCCAGGCTGAACAATTTTTAAGATCGATAGATTTGTCAGGTTGGGTAGAGACATCTAGCCATTCAGGCATCATTAACGCATCGCCAGGTGCATAGCTGCAGAATCGGAATATGCTCAGTTGGGCTGACTGATTCTGAGCAACGATGGTGGACTCGGAAGAACTGATGCGGTTAGCGGGACGGTACTCTTGCTCAGCCCGACGATGCAGAGTTACAAATCGCGTCCTCCACACCAATGTCGACTTTCTCCACGGTTTCTGAGAAACGCAGTTGCCCCCCGAAAATGAGCTAGACAAGTTTCATGAACTGCATTCCCAGCCTGTTGTCTTGAGTCCGACTTGAACACTATCGTTTGCTCACCTGGAATCACCCCATTTGGCGCTGAGTCAAGTCCATCTTGAAGGCACTCATTCTGCTCTTCCGCTCCACCGGTTACTTGGCTTTCTGCTATATGGTTAATTAACCGTCATACTACACCACTCAAATCTCTGTGACTCTTACACCGAATCACTTTGGTTGGTCCTGCTCTACTGTTTGCTCACGAAGTACAAGGGCTGGTGTTCAGCTGTAAAGAAACGGTGAGGAATGCAATTACGACACTCAATATTGCTCTCGTCACTCTTACTCTTTACCCCATTTCAGACATCTTATTAGAGCTGAAGGTAAAGTATCTTATACCATTCCCCGAGTCCTTATGGCCGCATTGATGCGCACGAAAGCGAAGAATTCTTCCATATACTTGCTGGCAGCAGCAGGAGGGGTAGGGTGCATCTCTCAACAATCAATACCATTTCTAGCACAGTATTTGGAATCATAGACTCGATCCACGCAATAATAACTGGGCTGTGTTCATGATTGTTTGTGACTGCTACTGTTGGATCGTTCATCGTGTTCGTAACTTCGATCCTTGCACCAACTGCGTGTATGTTCCTTGTTTCATCGCGGATGACTTCGGCGATATCAATGATTACGGTAAGCATGCAAGGTGTCCTTGCAGATGGCAACATCGTGGCCCTTCCGATAGGGGCGTTGGTAAATAACAGTAAGTTAATTGTCAACCTTGTCATTGTCATCATTCTTAGTCAAGTGTAACAGTACCTCTTTCTCGTCAGGTTATGCAGACCTCGCTACATCTGTTCCCTGGGCGAAGATATATCTAGGAGTACAGTACTAGATAAAGGCTGAGCTTCGCCGGCAGCAACCTGGTCCCGCAAGTACTGATCAGTCGTGTACTATCATTTGGAGAATGCATCAAAGATATACCAATTGTACATCAATATCAGTGGTATCCTTTGGAAAGTAGCGATTTGGGGCAACAATCGAGAAAGGCCGCGGAAAATTCACTGTCGGACAATATGTTACATGTTTGATGAGAATGAGTGCGTTTCAATAGAGACGTTCTGACAACTGATCAAGATGGATATAACTTTCAGAAAGCACAACTTAGAGGATTGGACTTACCAGTAGTCGGAAGATGCTTGAGCACCATGACAATCCTTTCCTTTGAGAGGATGAACGGCCACCGCCAATTTTAGTAAACCGGAAAGCTTAGGCAATGCATGTTTAACTGTGGTCGCAAAACAATCAACTCGCGAATGTTGGTTTCACTTGGTCAGATAAGATTGTGAGTGCATTGAGAAATTGAGAGTGATGAACGTAGTGCTGCCGAAGTTCAGTTCCGTCTGGTTTTTTCAAGATAACTGAGGACCAAGAACTGAACCTCGGTCAAGTTCACAAAGGTAGGGTGGACTCTGGGCCGGACCACTTCGAACGGGTTCACAATGGTCGGGTTCGAGTTCGAACCAGTTCGAACCGCCGAACGCAACATGAAATTAGCAAAATTTTCCAAGTACGAACAATTGTAGGCTAGACTATTCAACAATAAAAATTTGAGGAGCAACAAGCTCAGCCTGCACCATTGCTGATACATGGCCTTGACGGTACGCCCTTTTTAACAGTTGAAGTGCCTCGAATGTCTCTGGAAGCAAGCAGTTGTGACGTGTGGTGCCGGTGATGCCGCCACTTGAGAATGCCCGTTCAGATGCTACCGCAGACCCCTGAATAGCGAGGTAATCTTTTGCGATGCGAGCAACAGTGGGATACTGAACCGAGTGATGCTTTAAAAAAATAATTGTCAGCTTCAAGTTACACGGAATATTAAGGATATGAGCTTACACCCCACCACGCGACTACATTCTCAACATCCTCCAGTGGTGCAGCTAAGTAGTCCTCCAATTCCCAACGAGGCCTTTGACGAGCTGCGTCATGTGAGACACGAGCTTTGATTGCATCGCGCATCCAGCTCTGGCCGTAGGAACCTTGGCGTGAGAGGGATGGTGTAGCAGAATGTGTCGTCGCAGCAGATGAAGGAGGGGCACGATAATACTGATCAAACTAGATACTAAGTTAGTGCGCAGACAATTTATTGAGATACCCATGGACTTACCACATCTTCGAGCCGTTTCACTCCATCAGCAAAGTCTTGAGACGCCCAGAGCCTGAAAACACACTTACATCTCGGTCGGCATCTCCAAATGCTTTTATTTGCTGGTAAGCTTCTTCAGCTTCCTTGGCCTCTTCGTCGCCTGAATCTGCAACAAATGACTTGTCCTTGTTTGTAGATATGACATCGTCGTCGTCGTCGTCACCGCCGCCATCATTGTTGCCAATTGTAGAAGAGCTGGTTGCAGAGACAAGCGGGCGCTTGGTGGCAGGGGGCATGGTGGTAGTACCTGAACGTTTGGCAGGAATGGCACTGCTCACTGCTTCTCGCACCTTTGCGGAAGGCTTGATAGGCCGGCCAGAGCGACGAGAACCAGCAACAACTGTTGTGGGCATTCAATGAGAGCCTACGAAAGAGTCCAGGGTACAATGAGAGGGTGCTGGGGGCAAAGCCTTAGATGAGGATTCAGGATGGGGCGAGATGGGCATGTCATCGTCAGGATCATGATACCATTCGATTTCAGACGCATCCTTCAAAACACCATTAGCATTAACTGCAGAGTTCGACATGTTTTGATGAATGAGCTAACCTTGGACGCACCCCACCCTTTTATCCTTTGCTGATGTTCTGCGTAAGACCAGAATGAGATATGAATATCCACTCTGATCAATTGCATCGGTGATGATAGTGCTGTTACAGTCAAGTATGCCCCTATTCATTTTCTTCCCTTTACATCTTGTATTACATCACGATCGCTCTTGCCGTCGCTAGATGATCTATTTTCATTATCTCTGACTCGTCTTATCTCTGACTCGTCTTATCTCTGACTCATTATCTCATCGTACTGGCCCTAAACTTGTTTCCATGTACTATATAAACTCGTCTTGTACCATGTAGTTCTTTACTTTAATCTTACTAGGTTTTACCTGGAACTTCCTTCGCTTAAGACCTCCAATCTTAAGTCGTATTGAACTTGATTCAAGTCAAGGACACTCTCCTTGCCTTGTCTTAGAACATCGAACTTCGGTATACGCCGAAGCCTTGAACAGACCTTGGCCGATTACTCTTATTGAGTAGCCATATGTCTGAATCATCCTAGTTCGTAACAAGTGCCGGTGATGATTGCGCCAGTGATGATTGCACCGGTGACGATTGCACCGGTGACGATTTCACCGGTAAACTTACTGATATGTCAACAGTGAGCATCTTTCGACGAACCTGAGGAGTCGCAGAACAGAAGCAACAAACCTGCAACTCTAATGATGGGTTTGGACCGGTTCAGACTCGTCCGAACGGGTCCGACGTCCATCCGAGACCACCCGAACGAAGAACCTATGTAAGGTTCGGTCCTGTATCATATGTCGAACTACTGACCGAACGGTGGTTCCGTTCGCAAAAGTTCAGGTTCGAACCTAGGTTCGGGACTGAACTGCGGCAGCACTAGATGAACGAGAATAACTTACAGTGAATAAACAGTGAACAAGCTTGATAGAATTAACACCTAAAGGCTGACAGCGTACTATGAATGGTGTTTATGTTCTCGGCACCGCATTCTTGTTGAATCAACTTCTCAAACACCCATAAGCTATGGATAACTGGAAAACTTTCCAAGGACAAGCTGAAGCCATCGCGGGGCATGAAAGTAACTTTTCATAGACAGACTCGCATGAAAAAGAGGTTTCGGTGTAATGACTGGGTTTAGTTAAGGTGGAAATCCGAAGAACTAGTATACACCATAAAAATATTGTCAGCAGGTTTCGAGCCAACTCCAAGAGAAACAGATTTCGACTCTATTGTGGTAACCACTTGGCTAAGAACAGTTAGATGGACCTCGGAGGAAACCATTCATGAGTCAATGTCAAGGTGTATTCTGATAGAAAAAGACCTGTCATGCAGCAGGTTTCGAACCTGCACTGGCAAATCCAAGAGACAGATTTAGATTCTGTTGTGATAACTACTTTGGCCAGGATGAAGTTGAGATGAACCCTGAGGAAACCATTCATGAGCGAATCTTCAAGACATGTTCCGATAGAAACAAAAACCTGTCGATCGGCAAGTTTCGAACCTGCGCAGTCCAAAAGAAACAGATTTCGTGGTAACACATCGGCGGTTTTGGAGTTTTGCGTCAGGCAAGACTTCAATTGAAATGTGAATGATGAATTAGTCATTCGTACTTTGAATTTTATTACCGGAACAATAGTAAATTTAGACTGACGGCAAAATGACAAAGCACAACAACACATTTCGACACCCATTTGATGTCTATGTAAATGTATAAAATACTCAAAGTTTTCCTTTGCGCGAAATGTTGGCAAATGTTAACTTTCACAATCCTATTTTATCCAATGATAAATCCAAAAATTTGGAGTTGCGGAAACATTTTTTGCCAAATATTATATAATAACGGGAGTTTTCCCACTCCACAACATTTTGAATTTGCCTTAGTTGTAAATGATATCAACAAAATGTAAAGTTTTGGCAACCGGGGATTTATAGTGGGCATTCATTGGGTGCTCAGTGAGCGAGTACACATTCTCACAGCCGAGCCCCAAGGAAAATAGAACATAAATATTCTGTAGATATGAGAACATTGGCGCTACCCCTATGGAGACTATTGATGTGGAACCGTCCAACTCATCCTCATCAGATTATCTGAGACAGCCCATTTTGAATACTTTTAAAATCATTGATGAGGTCTTATTAGCGATGATGTTCTATTTGCAGCTGCATTCTGCCAATGCAAGCTCGTGCTTTTTGGAATGTGTTGAAGCAGGTTGCGGGGAGACATGAAGCAGCATGAACTAAAGCAGGGTAGGTGATCAAGGAGTTCCTTGAATTCACGCAGCTTGAGCGTGGTACCGTACTTGACCCATGGCTCCTTCATGAGTTGTTCATACTCCTACAAATAGAGCAATTAGTGTACTGGTGATATGTAATGCTAGGTAGAACGTACCTCATCCAAATGGATGACGTCCAACTTTTCGCCCATGATGCTGTGAAACATACCATCCTTCTCATTCAGAAAGACGATCTTTGTGACTTCGTCATGTCCATCAATGAGCGCGTATAAGAGGGCACTGTTTTCAGCAACGGTCTCCTATCAGTAGGACTAATCAGTGTCTTTATAGCTTAGCTATGCCACAGCAGCCACACATTTGTGTCATTTTCGATTTGTTCCTAAAATTGTATGTGCTAGAGGTCAGGGTATGCTGTATCCTGGGGCCAGATGTAGTGTAAAAATGGATGAGCTCAGGAGGGACTTGACAAAAGTGACAAAATGGGTGTGATGATGCATAACACCAAGGGCGTTGTGAAAGAGAAATAACGACTAGGCTGTTAGAAACTAGCGCTACTTATCCAAATAGGCGCAAGTGTAGTATTCGACCCAAGAGGACTGCTATTGAAGCAACTCCCTTCTAATATGCAAGGGAAGCGATAGCGCGAAGGACTAATAACCTATAGCGACCTAAGACCAAAAACCGATGAGTAGCGCTATAGCGATCAGCAACTAGCGACAAGTGAGTTCCGACAGAGAAACGTGCGTATAAGTGAGAAGCGCTATGCAAGTTGTTCTATGCGATGTCTGACTAGCGACAGCGAGAAGAAATCAAAGGGAGCAAAGGCGAGGAGTAAGGTAAGACAGTGCAAGTGAAATGCCCGATAGCGACTAGATTATAGCTCGACTACCAATAGCGATCCTGACATTGTGAAAGTCAAACTTAAGAGGGGACTTTAGCGATGCGCACTTAAAGCAAGTCAAGCGACACACGATCAAAGAGATTGGCAAGAGCGGAATCGATTGCACCAAGACTAGGATATAGTGACTAAAGTGACTCCAACACCAGCAAAGGTCCAGGGAAGGGAAGTACTGTACTGTATGTGCGACGGGTCATTTTATCATACTGCGTAAGAGTTTGGAATTGCGTAGGCAAGTATAGTAGCGACACTGGCGAGGGCACAATGTAGTGACAGGTAATAAAACATGCAGCACTGCGGAACACAAGGATACATGTAATAAGACCTGCGACTGATGAGTAGCGACATTTAAGGAAAAATAACGCATCAGTGGAGGTAGGTGGAGGTAGGCAGGACATGGGAGGACGGAATACCTAGGCGTTGGACCGGGTAGCGCGCTATGGGAGAAAAGTGGTTCCAAAGTGGATAGCTTGGGGGTTGAATAGCGCTGGTAACTAGCACCTTACTCTTTTCCTCTAGACAAGGCAAAATATGCCTATGACACTCATACACGCCCAGCACTGGTATGATTGTCACAGCGTGAAGTAAGTTTCCTCTCTGAACACGAACTCCCTGAGAAAGCACGGATGATTGAATCAGGAGTGGACAATCCCAGCTTTCATGTAGAGCTCTGGGATCAAGACTCTGATCCCAGAAACCTCTTGGTCCTTCATTCACATTCGGGCGAGACACTATGAGGATGAGGAGAAGTGTCATATACCATATATCCGGTTACAGATCCGATGATCTGGATCTCAGATCCGATCCAGATCCGATGAACATATCCATCGTCCGGTCCACAGATCCGCTTTGATTCTTATTTCATTTCCTGTTCATATAACTCTAACTATCGTTCATCTCCTTTTGGTATTCCTGTACACCGGTATACCGGTTATCCCTTACTTCCGCTTTGCTTACTGATCCGCTATGCTTACTGATCCGCTACACTTATGAATCCGCTTTTACTTGTACTTCATTCCCGGTTCATGATTCGTGATCCATCCAACTTACCAATACGCTCCACTTAGACTTTGCTTATACTTTCGTACATAGCCTCGCACCTTTGCTTATGGATCATTCCGTTAGCTATCCGTAGTATATAAACCTTTGTATATGCGCTGTAGTAGATCAGTTCGAATATCATCTTAGATTGCACTCATTCCGTCTGGACTCTGAGTCCCTCCGTTATCCATCCGGACTTGAGTACGCTACTCTTGTCTACTCCGAGACTTAGGATAGATTCCTATAGTCTACATATCCGCCTCTGTCTTTGGACAGTCCTCACCCGTTAGTTTCTAGTCCGGATCCGATCCGGATTGGCCGTTACTCTATATACGCGATACTTTAGCTCTCTGAAATAAGGGGCAAGACTCGGGAAAGGGGCACAGCGCACGAGCTGAGGCCGAAGCCCTTCGGATCCGATACTACTTGAGTACGGTCTTAACAAGAAGTATGGAATGATGGAGGCTCGCGTTTGGATCCGATACAAGGTAGGAGAGGGAGGAAGCCTTGCGCCCTAATGCGTTCGTCAATGTGTGTCTCTGACAGCGGTAGTGTTGGCAGTCCAGGAGGAAGTGAGGGGCTGATTCTTCTGGGCAATGTGTGCAGTATGGGGACAGTTCTTTGCCTATCCGATGAAGGTGGAGGGGGGTGGCCTGTCCACAGTGCCACATATAAACCTGTGAGACGTTTAGGGAAGTTAGCGGTGAGCTTGACGAAGGAGCGGTTTAGGATCTTAGGGTCTAGTCTATTGATGTGATTGAATCTGGGTGATGGTCATGTGTCGATTGGTGGTGTGCAGCCTTGAGGGTAGAGGTGCTGAGGGGAGCCTACAAATATTTGAGCCACGCATTGGACTGGTATGTACAGAGGGTGTGATTTCGGGTGAGTGGCGAGTCATCCAGATGTCGTTGATATGAAGATGATAGTGGCGAGCATGGCGGTGATGACAGTTGAGGTTTCTTCTCAGCCCCGGATGGGGAAGATGCAGGTGATCTGGATATAATGGAGCATGAGGTCATTTGTCCAGCCTCATCCGCAGCAGCAATATTATGGGAGGGGCTTCCAGTTGTCTCTCTCTCTAGTGTGCTGGGACTGGACACATTGCGAAGTTCAGCTGATGATGACCCACTTGCTTCAAGTTGGCCAGGCGAACTTGATACAGTGGCATTGAAGTTGGGCGGCGGTGCCATATTTGACCTTGATGCTGAGAATGCTACAGCGTCTGGACCGTATGGAACACCAAATCATTCCAGCGTGTTCCTCGAGGTGATGAGTTTGATTTGCTCAGGCGTTATGCCACCTTTCGGTGCTCGGAACTCCGAGCATATAACAGTATGTTGAGAGGTGTTGATATTGAGTTCAAAGAGATGGTCGAAGGGGATGTCATGTGCGTGGAATGGTCGTGGGATCGGAGAGTTTTCAAAAGTGTTGAATGAGTGATTGCACCCATGTACACTGAGTGTTGATGCCACGGAGAGGGATGAAACGTTACGAGTGTGGTCAGGAGTGGCATCCCTGTTATAGATCAAAATGGGGGGATGTTGTGATGAACCCTCGAAGGGGTTGAAAAGGAAGCTGAATCTAGAGTGCCGGTCAGGTGCAGCATCATTGATAGAGGTTTCCAATGCAGGAGGCTTGTAATGAGGAGTGTCCTGACCTACAACCTCAAAGTATGCAGGCGCTTCTCCTCGTGGGTTTTCAGATGTTTGGGTAGAATGGCTTTATTGCAAGTGATGTGATGTGCCCATGCTAACAATGTCCACACTTCGTCTCATTGGCATATCACCAGAAACATTATATATGAGATTTGTGGCAGAGTCATCCACGAAGATATGGTGTTCCTTTCGATATTGAGGACATTCAAAAATAAAGTGACTGTGCAGTGGGTGAGATTGGGGGAGGGTGGCTAGACGAACAGTGGCTTGAGGTCTGGAGTTAATGGTGAGTGGCCTGCGAAGTTTGAATGAGAATAGGAGACATACCATAAGATTCTTTAGTACGGGTGTGTAGGCAGTGATCTCATGGAACCGGCCCGATTGGGGGAAAGGGAGTGCGCTGAGAGTTGTAAATGGGCTGGGTCTAGGTCTGAACATCAGAAGCTTCTCGGATTATGTAAAGCATGACTTAACTTAACAGAAAGATTGTAGTGTACATCATTACTGATTACTCGCCATGGCTGGGGTGAACGCAAACACAAGTCGCTGGCGATGGATCATTCATGAGGGGACTGACGAAGAATCTAATAGATGCAATACATCAACCACAATGCGAACAATGCAAGTGCGTACCATCTCATCTACATGTGGCCTAATAAGGCATCATATTTTAAGCTTGCTGGAGGGAACATTGTCAGTTAGCAGTTTCACAAAAAAGTCCGGCACTCACAATCCCATTCATCAGGCTCAAATGCAGGCACAGGAGCAGGTGCAGGCATAGGTGCAGGTGCAGGTGCAAGCACAGGAAGTTGTCGAGGAGGAACAAGTGTTTGTGGTTACGCCGACTGCGATGGTAAGCCTCTCTCATCATATCTGGTGTGCTAATCGTGACTTGCACCAGGCTCTATGGGATTACACGCATGAGATCATACAAGATAATGCAGCATGGGTGCGAAATCATCTGCAGGCACCGCAGCCCCCCCATCCCCCCATCCCAATGTCGTGTCGCGACAACTGCATCCTCACCCTGATGGCAGAGGAGAAATGTGATGAGATTTTCCGGTTGTTGAATGAGGTAATTGAAGTGGAGCATCTCTTAGGGTTGGAGGACATGTAAGAGCATCGAGTCAGTTTCAAGGAATCTGTGTAAGAGCATGTGGACTTGTAGGTTGGAGAAGGATAGGGGCCGGATCTGAAACTCGGGAACATAAGTCTATGGAAATAAAATTAAACATAGTTAGCACAGAGAAGTGATATCAATGACCATGTGCTTTTTGCAGTATTCCTGCACTAGTAAGAGAAGCTGTTACGAGTGTGATGAAACTTACTTTGACCGTGGTGTTCTCAAACTTTTAGTTGCCAGCATTGGCAATGAATGCATGCTCTCTACTTTTTCTAATGTGTCAAGCAGTGTCTGGCAGACCGCATTTAGTTCACACTTTTTACAATGTATAGAACACATATATTGTAAGCATAACATGAATACAGGCTTGCAAAGTGTATCATTGGCCGGAGAACACAAGGTCATCAAGGTCAGTCAGAGAGAGGTCATGGTCACAGTCATCGTCAGCATCCAACCTACGTTTCTTGCCAGATGGAGTGACTTGTACCTGTATGGGCATTGGATCCTGCGAGGTGCATAGTGACTTTGTGTATAAACGACGTGCGCTCAGCCTGTCGGTCAGATGCAGTTTTTGCAGTGCGGCCGCATCTTCATTAGGCCAGTTGGGCAACCCAAGGTGCTTGTTGTAGATATTGATGACGGAGTCATGTAGTTGCAGGATCTGCATACCCATCTCCTTGTAAGCAGGAGACGCACACATGATGTTGTGTGCAGTATCAATCATCTTCTGTTGTGCAGCCATGTGCACAGGCCCAACTTCATCCAAAACTTCCTTCAATGAGAGCCGCATTTGTAAAAGTTCCTCCTGGTCCTCAAGGGGGATCATGGAGTACTGATGTGAGAAGAACTGGGCTAGTTCAATGATGATATTGTCAAGCCATTTGCAGCCAACAAATATGTCTTGCAGAAAGTACGTTCTCGCGACAAGCCAATTTGCTTTCATGGATCCTCCGAACCCCACCAGTGGATCAGCATCAAAGACCTGCATGATAAATTGGGTCCAATCAATGATGTCAATGTGGCTCTCCTTGTACATTAATGCTGTCCTCACTTTCTCACACTCGTGCTTACCTTAGTGCGCTCTTTTAG